CGGCTGCTGGATGGCACAGTGCCAGCCTGGTCCCAGCTCTTGCTCTTGGAGAGGTCATGCAACTGAGGTCCAAAGAGGTATGGGGAGTGAAAGTCTCCTGCCCTCCTTACTTCTCATGGGGGGGTCTTTGGCTGGATCTAGGAACATTACAAATACAAGAGCTGATTAAACAGAGAAAAGCATGAAAGTTCTGTTATCTTACATGTACACGGGGATCTTCACAGAAAAGAGGAGTCCAAAGGAATGACAAAAACATGCTGCTTACGTACTTTATAGACAAAGAATAATAAGTGTGCAGAAGAAGGATAGGACAGATGGATTCTAGGCTGTCACTAAGAGGAGGGACGGCATAGAAGCGAGTGGAAATCATGGTTCATCAGGTCCAGGGCAGCCCCGTGGCCCAGCCTCCGGTGATCAAGGCTATTTTAAAGTGTTGGTGTGGGTAGAGCATCCCCCTGTGACCTGCTGCACTAGGAAAACACGGACCAAACAGCCTCTCCTGCACTCAAGTTCCTCGGTGATTTGGGTTTGAAATCATCAGAATACCAGTTTGGCATGTTTTGAGACGGCAAGTCTTTAACAGCCGCAGCGGTTCGTCTAGTAGCCTTCGGTAGCCCCTAGAGACAGTTTTGACCGTCGGGGTCATGAAGGTGGGTACACGCTGTCGGTAACTGCGGTGCCTACGCCGCCTCTCACGGTGCAGAATCACAGACCGAGCATCCGAGTGTCCATTCGCTCATGCTCCTCCGCTTGCTGACGCCGGTCCTTGTGCTGTCCACCCTGTCCGCTGGGTCGTGTCTGCTTAGTGCTGAGCCTCCCTGTGTCCAGCGGCCTGGACAGTCCTCCGGGGTGACCCATCGAGCCAGAAGGCGAAACTCTGTGCTGGCCTCCGGGAAGGGGCCGGGAGCTGAGCCAGGCTTGGTTTCCTCCGCCCCACGCCCACACAGACACACCAGGAGGCTGGAGGATGGGACACGATAGTTATTTCCGTTGCAAACCATCTCTGAGCTTCATTAAAAAATCTTCCCTCGCCTGTGTGCACCAGACCGTGAACAAGCCCGCTGTCAGCCTGGCCAGTGTGCGGCTCCTCCGCTACAGGAGGTGAGCTGGAATATGCATGAGGCGCCGGGGATCTGGAAGAGGCTGCAAAGGCGACATTTCGGGCTCTGGCCTTCGCCTCACACCTGCCCTCCCTTAGACTGGCACAGGCAAAGGAGGTCATCAGTGAAACCCATCTGTCCCTTCGTGCCCTCCTCACGTGAGATTTCAGGAACCCAGCTCCTGCTCTAAAGGGGCCAGAGCAATAAATTTTGTGAAACAGAACACAGGATTGAGATAGGGCAGGATTTGCCCCCTGAGCAGCCACCCCTGACCTCATACCGTTTCGCAAACGTTTGCCTTCATGAACTCTGCCCTGGTCCTGAGCAAACAAAGTGAAAGCACCCAGCCCAGGGCCTGGCCTCGACTGGGGATTTCAATTTTTTAAATGATCGTTTAATAGGCAGCAACCTAGAGGGAGATCGAGTTGAAGTCTCAGGGGCCACTGGCAGCACCCAAGCGCCATTACACGACTTTTGGTGTTCACAGCAACATTGAGAGGTCTCTACAGACTCAGCTAAAGACAGAGCTTACCCTGAGGTCAGCTCTGGCAGGTGTATGCACCTCTGAAACCCCGGCCACAAGCAAGGTGATGAGCACATCCATGGCTTCTCAGTTTCACTCCAGCCCCTGGGAACCCCTCCCTCTCACCCCGTCTGCCAGTGGATATGGACAGATTTACATAATGTTGAAGAAGTGGAGGCATAAAGATCTATTCATTTTTTGCCTGGCTTCACTCAGCACAACTATTTTGAGGTTCATCCATATTATCAAATGTTCTTTTTTATTACTGAGTAATATTCCATTACGTAGATTATCAATATGTGTCTATCCATTCACTATTTATTTTTTGGTACCAGGGATCGAACTGGGGCCTTTGGGCTTTCAAGGCAGGCGGCGGTACCACTGAGCTAAGTCCTGGGCCCTCTCCATTCACTTTATGGATGGATAGGCAAATAAAACTATTGTGGACAGTCATGTACAAATCTTTGTGTGGGCATATGCTTCTGTTTCTCTCGGATAGACACCTGGAAGTAGCGACATGGCGGATGGCTAGATCATCGATATAAATGTGACTTTTTAAGAAATTGCCAAACTGCTTTCCAAAGTGTACCATTTCACGTGCTCATCAGCAGTGTGTGAGAATTCCAATTGCTCCACATCCTTGTCAACACTCACTCCTTTTTTATTTTACTTGTTCTGACGGGTGGATATTTGGATTGAGATCATGATGCTTGGTGGGCTTTTTTAACAGAGGGTCTCAGTATGTTGTCCAGTTGAACTTTTACTCCCATATAGCCGAGGCTGGCCTCAAACTCAAATCATCCTGCCTCAGCCTCCTGAGGGCTGTGAGTAAGACTGTGTTTCCACATCTGGTCAATGTATTTTTGATGCACTTCTTTGCCACCCATCTTTTTTTTTTTTTTTTTTTTTTTGGTACCAGGAATCGAACTCTGGACCTTGCACTTGCGAGCCAGGCGGTAGAACCACTGAGCTAAATCCCCAGCCCAATCGCCCATCTTTTTTGTTGAAATGACTACCCAAAATTTTTGCCCATTTAAAAAAATTAGTACTGCCTTTTAAGAGTGATAGATGAGGACTGGGGATTTAGCTCAGTGATTCCGGCACACGACCCAAGTTTAACCCCCAGTACCAAAAAAAAAAAAGAGTGATAGATGTACTCAGGATATGTATCCTGTATTTGGTATGTGATTAGCAAATATTTCTCCTAGTCAGTTGCTTTTGTTTTCATTCTGTTAACAATATGTGTTGTTGTTGGTGGTGGTGGTTGTACCAGAGATCAAACTCGCGACCTTGTGCTTGCAAGGCAGGTGGCGGAACCACTGAGCTAAATCTCCGGCCCCAACAATATGTTTTGAAGGATCAGAGTTTCTAATTTTTAATTAAAGAACAAAAACTCACCTTGTTCTGAAGTGGTCTCTCATGTTGGGGGATACATTAGGATGCTGTTGGATACTAAGGATGGGTTCTCTCCTCCCACACCAAACCACCCTTGCTAAGCAGCCTGAGGCCACATGGAACCTCTGCAGAGATTTCCAAAACAGACCTCTGTTTGCCTCAGTTTCCTCCTCTGGAGACAAAAGGTGATATTGCTACTCCATGTAGCTGAAGCAGGAGCGGTCCAGTTAGTTAATCCACTTAAAGTTCTTACCTGGGGTCTGGAGCTTAGTCAGTGCTACACCATGTTACCCTAAGGCTGTTACTTCATACTGAGGATGTCCGTGCGGTGCAAATGCACCACTTTGGAGCAAAATACCTGGGCAGTCCTGATGGTTTTCTTTCTGATAAACACTTTGTTTATCTCCACGCCAGTCCTGGCCAAATTCTCTGCCTCTTTAATCCAAAGAAGATACCACCATCCTCATCCACACTTTATATATAAGGAAATCCCGAGACCCAGCCTGCAGAGAGAGTGACTGAGCTGGAATTCATCTTGGGCCCATCTGGATCAAAATCCACACCGTGAGACCCCAGTCCACCGGGACTCCTCGCCGACCCAGAGAGGACACCGTTCCTAAAGTCATGTTGATCTTCTGGCTCAAGGCCTTGTCTGCTGCACTTGTTCCGGTCTGGATTGCAGACCTGTGCTGCAGAACACAAAAGAGGGAGGAGAGATCCCCACTATACATTCCTAGGCTTTGACCAATCTTGGAGTTGTCCCTTTGGCAACACACGTGAATCTACAGGGAAAGTGATATAGACCTGAGAGGATCAGGCACTGTTCATGAAGACACACGCATTACCCAGCCAGCCTAAGCAGAGTCCGCAGGGCCCCTGGCGTGCTGTTGGCATCACTATTAACAAACAGGTTAAGCACACAAAGAACAGAGGCTGTCTCCTAAAAATCCATGAAAGAAAATGTCCAGAAAAAGAAGGAAGGTTCTACCCAGAAAAGCTGAAGTCGTGAGACCCAAGGAAAAGAAGCCTCGGCCGCCAGGACCCATGTCCTATGAATTCATAGCACAATGGTTAGGGGAAAAAAAATCTCTAAATGGAAAAAAAAAAAAAAAGATTTAAAAAATAAAGCATGTACTAAGCACATTCTTTTTCCAGCACTGGGTTAGTCATTTGGGGGATACAAAAATGAATAAACTATAGCCCTTGAACTTGAATAATAATAGCTTATGCTCCTTTCTTTGGTACCAGGGATTGAACCCAGGACTTACGCACTGAGCTACATCCCCAGCTCTTTTTTATTTGGAGACAGAGTCTTGCTAAGTCCATTAAGTTGCCCAGGCTGGGCTCAAACTTGCAATCCTCTGCCTCAGCCTCTCCAAGTGCTGGGATCACAGGTGTGCCCCACAACACCTGGATTTTATAGCTTTCACTACATGCAAGGCTGTGTGTGTGTGTGTGTGTGTGTGTGTGTGTGTGCGCGCATGCTCTACATACACCGCCATCCCTCAGTGTCCGTGGGGGACCAGTTCCAGGCTACCTCCCCCAGGGCTCCAGATGCCCAAGTCACTTAAATAATGTCCTAGAATTTGTACATAACCTACCCATATCCTCCCATCTACTTTCAATCATCTTTAAATTCTTATCCCATCAGTGTGATGTAAATGGTACATAAACAGTTGAACTGTAATGTTTAGGGAATAGTAACAAGGAAAAGCAACAAAAAGTCCCACACATGTCAGGCAGAGATGTGGGCTTTTCTCGGAACACTTTTGGTCTATAGTTGGTTGAATCAGAATGCAGACAAACATTGGTATTAACTCATTTATTACTCAGCAAGCCCAGGAGACAGAGACCCTCGCAAACTTCCTTCTGTTAAGGAAACAAAAGCAAAGAGCATTCAGAACCTCATCCAACACACCACAGTAAGGAGTGGAACCAGGATTTGGCTCCAGGATGATTGGCCTCGCTGAGTGTGAGTGGAGCCTGGCTGGGGACGGAGAGGGGGTGGGCGCACGGTGCCTGATGGATCCCCAGGCACACAGACGTGATCTGTCACAAGGGCTGAGGAGTCCGGCTCCAGGTACATCATGGCCCCAGCCCCTTTATTTTAGAAACACTCCTTGAGCCCACTGTATGTGCCAAGCAGTGCTCAACAGCAGAGCACAGCAGGCCTAGCTTCTCCTGCATGGTGCAGGTGACAGGTGACGTCCCTGGGTGGGACCCCCCGAATGGCACTGAGTGTCACGTGGTAGTGCAGAGGGACCAGGGGCCTTGTGGTGGGGGGATTCCCGTCCACTGAGAATTGGGGCAGGCTTGCTGGAGGGGAGGATGTCTCAGTAGACTGTGCCATGTGGGCAGATGTGTCCTAGATGGAGGGAAACGTGTGGGATCATGTCTCTGCGGCTTTCCAGCACGTTTAAGGACAGCGGAGAAATCCAGTGCGGCTCAGGTGCAAGACCAAAGGGGCAGGGACAAGCTTAAATTAGACTGCTGTTAAAAGTCAATGCCAAAGCGTGCAACTGTTCAGTCACAACGGAAGCACCACCCATCTAATGGTGCAAGGAAGGTGCAGATTCACTCCCAGTTCACAGATGTTGTATCTATTGTCCTGCTGCTGCATAACAAACAGCACAAAATTCCAGCGGCCTGGAGTGAGTGAGGCTCTGCTGGATAGCACAGCACCGGGCTGGGCTCACTCACACTCCCCGGTTTGCATGACTGGAGTGCCCTGGCTTGACCCCTGTGCCTTTGCTTCTCCAGCGGAGCTGCCTTAATGTTCGTACGGGGACAGCTGAGGTGCCACAGGCACAGGTGTGCAGGAGTTGCTGAGACCGCCTTGGAGCTGAGAGACACGCCACCGCTCCAGCCTCGCTGTATCCCGTGGGAGACAAACTGTTGCTCTGGCCGCTGCACTCCACCTTAATAGGAGTTCAAACATCACATGCCGAGAACCTGCACTCGGGAGGCATGAGGTGTGGACCCATTTAAAGCTCCTTGTCTACCACCTACGTTCATTCAGGGACTCTGGCTCCCTCCCTGTTGCAACACTGCCTTCTCCCTGAGCCTAGTCACACACACCCACAGACCAATCGATAGAGAGGCGAATAAACCAATCAGTGGATGGCAGAGGCACACCGCCACGTAAGAGCCTTTCACTACAAGTGGCTCCCGTCACTCTCCCTCCCGCTCCCTTGATGAAACCTCCGGGCCCGTAGGACAACCCCAGAGCCGTAAGCCTTCAACCAGCCCAAAGGCTGCCTCCACCCACCACTCTGCAGGTGCACAGGGAGCATCAGTTTGAGGGAAACTCGGCCATCTCTGCCGCAGGAAGTGACTCGCCCAAGGGAGTGAGGATCTGAGTAACAGCTTTTGCATCACTGCAGTGTGTGGACAGCAGGGACAGGCAGCCCTCTCTTGTAACTCAGTCCCCATCCTGATAGTCGAAGGAGCAGCAGAGACCAGACGTTCATCTCTGCACACTCTAACGCAGCAGAAGAGAAGTACAGATTGGTTGCGTATGCTGTCCCCGGGCTCTGGCTGCCCTCCTAAAACCACACCAGCTACCTGGTGGGACCTAGGGGGAGGGGACCCCCTTCCCCACCGCAGAACCCCCTCTCCCAGGCCCCACGGAAGCTGCAGGCAGCACTTGGCACACTCAACCCACATCAAGCTCAAGGGCCAGGCCGGGTGGGGAAGAGAGGGATCACAGCATGTTCCACCCTGCCACTCGCCCAGTGTTGTGCCCCCAGGAGCAGGCGCCTTGTCAAGCTCTCTCCAGAAAGCTGAAACACGAAGTGAATACCAATGGTCCCTCGCCCCCAGGAGGAGGAGACGCAATTACCAAAAATTCTGCTTACAGCTCAGATTCAATATTTGGGAGGGATGATCCTGAAATAAGAGATTGCCTGATTTCTCTCCCCGGCCTGTGAATGCTTCATTAAGCTCCTATTTGACATCTGATGGTTGAGTCTGATTGGCTTCATTGTGGAGGTGGACTCTAAGAAGTCCCCAAGACAGAGCAATCAAGTTTCACAATGACCCCCAACTGCAAATACTCAGACACAAATGGCAGCTGTTCCTTGGACATCAATGCCGTGAATGCGGCGGGAATGTGTGTTTCATCCCCACTTAATGAAACCCAATCCTGCTTGGCACATGGGGCCCCTGACTCAGCACTTAGGATTTCCTCCTCGGTTCAGCCGGTAGGCGGGAAACAAAGAAGCCTCAGGCTTCCGCATCAGCTCCAGTGGAGATGCAGTGTGTCCTGCTCCTGGGGAGGGCTGTGGAGGCAGTGGGGTCTCCGGCGTGTGGAACTGAGGCTGCTCTCCACAGACGACACAGAGACAATGTCCCTCTGCCTAGACTGCCCCGTGGCCAACCAAGGTCCGATTTCAGGGCCGGGCCCCCTCCTCTCCTCCGCGAGTTGGCCTTATCGTTCACCTCAGCATCCGCCGCTGGGTGACCCGAGACTCGGACACCAGTAAGGATCTTCCATGTGACTCACACATTTCCCTCCTGCTACCTCCGAGGAGCATGCACTAACAGGGCTATCATGGTCATGCTGGCCAGATGCCCAAGCATAGACGTGGACACAAGGAAGCTTTCCATCTCCCCGCAAACACAGACGTCTGTTCACCTGGTTAACTATGGAGGCAGCCTGCGCTTCACAAAATGTCACTCTCTACATGCAGAGTTCTCTACTCACCACCAGGGGGCAGCCTTGCCCCACTTGCAGTATTTGTATTTACCAATTACCCAAGACCAGTGCGGCCTTAAACCTAGGAAGAAAACATGAAAAGGTGTTTTTTGTTTTGTTTTGTTTTGGTACCGGGGATCGAACTCGGGACTTTGCGTTTACGAGGCAAGAGGTGGAACCACACTGAGCTAAATCCCCGGCCCCGGATGTGTGTGTGTAATAAAATCAATACAATATGAATAAATACTCTCAGAAAACAAGTCAAAGGGAAGTCACAGATTGAGGTTCTGTTACAACTATTAATTTCTGGGGTGACAGTGTCCTTTTGAGTTTCCTAGTGGCCATAGCAAAAATAGAACTATTCACCCACCTGTCCAGGAAAGGTCTAAATTTGATCTGAGCGTCTGCTGCAAAACTTGCCACACCTGCGTTTATACACAACCCTGTTGGATTTTCCAGTTCAACTCTTTTCATGTATGGAACCCTACATGCTAATCCTTCTTTAAATGTGTCATCGCTGTATTTTTACTTTATTGGTGTTTTGATTGATTGATTGATTTTTTGTACTGGGGATCAAACTCGGGACCTTGCACTTGCAAGGCAGGCAGAGGCATCACTGACCTAAATCCCCGGCTGGTGCTTTGATTTAAAGTGATAGGTAAGAGCTCTGGCTCCACCGTCTGTCCTATTACCTTCTTTCTCCTCTTCTCCTTGTGCCTTCTCCTCTACCTCCTCCTCCTCCTTTTCCTCTTTCTCCTTCTTTTCTCTCCTTCTCTTCTTTCTCAGTGCTGGGGCCCCCACTCCACCTCTGAGCTACATCCCCAGACCCTACCTTTTCTTGAACGAGTTCTACTCGGGCCTTTATCCTCACACTTGGAAATGACCTTTTCAGTCTCCAGTGACTTCCACATTGTCGAATCCAGGAACAATTCTTGGTCTTCCTTTTCCTGGAGCCAAGCATAACACTTGCCCCAGTTCGGCTTGGTCTTACTCCTGAAATGCTTTTTTTCCTTCCGCGTCAGCAGCACTGGTCTCTTGTTCGTCTCCACCTGCGGCTCCTTCTCCACCTGCCCTCCAGATGCGCTCAGGCCTGGGCCTCCTCTTCTCCATCCAGCCACGCTCTCCATCCCATCTCAGGACTCCAAGTCGCAGATCCACCCCAACGACCACAGCCACATCTGCAGCCCACGTCTCCATTCAGACGTCAGGTACCTCAGACTTAACCTGTCCAGGCCAAACTCCTGTTACCCCTGCCTGATTTCATTCCCATTTCCCACCTCCATAAATCAACACCATTTGACATGGACAATCCTAGTGTCATTTTGGACTCCTTTCTTCCTCTGGCCTTTACAACCAAGTGCACAGAACATCCTGTGGGCTCTGCCTTCAGAGTAGCTCTAGAATCTACCCTCTTCTCACCGCCTCTACCCCTCACTCCCGTCTAGGTCATCTCAATGTCCTGCAGCAGGTGATTTCATCTGTTTAGTTAGTCACTGTATCTCTCTTGCTTAGACTGGTGTTTAGCACACAATAAGCTATCACCGAACATCCCATTAAATGACTGAATGCCCTAGGGGCTTTGATGCCACAAAGGATTAACTTCCAGGAATGATTCACAACTAAGAAAACAATAGAGCAAACACTTTCTGAACACATACCACATGCCAGGACGTTGCTGGATGAGGTGACTATAGCTCAGGAAAGTAGGAAATTGTCCAAGATTAAACATCTAATGGTTGATGGAATAGATATTTGAATCCCATGCATTTATTTAATTCATTGACTATTTGTTAAGCACCATTTATATGCCAGATATTGTTTTGGGAGAGCAAAACAAGGGAAATTTTAAGTCTGATAGCAGTTGCATCCTAGTAGAAAGAAACAAGAAATGGTGTGTGTGTGTGTGTGTGTGTGTGTGTGTGTGTGTGTGTGTAAAGAAAGCAAATTAAAGAGATTAGGAATAATGGGAGATTATAGTAATAAGGAGATCAGGAATAAGCTCTCTGATGTAGGGTGATCAGGAAAGGCCTCTTTGAGGAAGTGCAGTGACCTGGAGGGTGACTCATGTCAACAAGTGTATCAAGAGTAAAGACCTCAGGCCAGGCACGGTGGCGCACGCCTGTAATCCCAGCACTTGGGAGGCTGAGGCAGGAGGATCGCGGCGAGTTCGAGACCAGCCTGGGCTACATAGTGAGTTCCAGGTCAGTCTCAACTAGTGAGACCCTGTCTCAAACACCACCACCCCCAAAAGCAAAGACCTCAAAATAATCTCTGACGTGTTTGAGGAGCACCCAGGACAGTGGTGGTGAACTTATGGCCACACGAGCCACAGCAGGCTTTGTATCATTGAAAGCTCTGAAAGGTTCATCACCACTGATCTAGGCTGTTATCCCAACCAGTTTCTTGCGGAAAGTTTTAGTTGGTGGTTTACTTGTTTCTTCTGTTCTGTCCTTTTCTTCTTGTGGTATTGGGGATTGAACCCAAGACTTCCATACTGACTTCCACCCCCAGGTCTTTTCTCTTTCTTGTTTTGAGAGTTCTCTCTAAGCTGTTAAATTGCCCGGGCTGACCTTGAACTTGTGATGCTCCTGTCTCAGCCTTCCAGGGTGCTAAGATCACAGGCAGGTGCCACCACTCCCAGGAATTGGTAGGTTTAAAGCAAGCAGGCACAAGCTGCAGGCAGTCACACTGTGACAGAGAGGCAGTTATGGTGACATATCTGCACAGTCCCTGGGGGCCACGTGGGTGGACTGGTCAGGCAGGCTGTGTCTCCAGCTGCACCATCAGGAAGTGATCCCCAGGAAGGGAGCAGTTGTGTAAGGTAGAAATCTGGATCAATCACACAGAGGAATTGGTCGGAAAGGACAATAAAATTGGTAAGTGTCAGGAGTGACCAAACCCTGCTTCTGGTGTGAGAAAGTTCAGCTTACATTTAAAACAGGTGCTGAAGCATCATAAAATTGTAAGAATTCACTGCAGCCCAGTATCAACTCTGACCTGAATTTCTAGCCTGCTAACCTGCCCTACAGGTTGCAGACTAGCCTGCCCTGACAATCACCTCAGCTACTTCCTTTAACCAGATGGAAGGTTGATAGATAGATGGCGGAATAGAGAGATAGGGGTGTGATCAAAATATGCAGTGAACATTTAATTTTAAAAAATATTTTACAGTAGGGCCAGGGACTAAGCTCAGAGGTTCTGGCACCTGCCACACAAGCCCAAAAGAATATTTATAGTAAAAAACATATGGCCATTAATTCCCCCTCAAAATCCCTTCCACCGTCTTCAAACACACTTATTCCATCTTTCTTGCCATTTTCCAAAGCAGTTTGGAGGTCTTCTCTTATGAACGTCTTTACAAGAGATGATCAAAAATATAGTGAATGCTGCTACTTAGTGCCATCCAACAGAAAGAAAGCGGGGGGCTTGCAAAAACATTTTGGTGTCTCCTCATCCATCTTATTTACTGGATCTGGCACTGTGTGACTTCTGGTTCTTCCCCAAAGTCAAAATGACCACGAAAGGTAAGCATTTTGAACTGATTCAGAACATCGAGGCAGCCGTGAAGGTGCAACTAAAGACAGTCAGGAAAGAGGTCTTCCAGAACCACTGCAGCAACTGGCAAAAGCAACGGGACAAGTGTGTTTCAAGCACAGAGGAGAATGGGGTGTGTGTGTGACAATGTGTCTTTTACTGTAGTAAACTTTTAAAAATTCAAATATTGACTGTATTGTTTGCTCAAACTAAGCAGATAAACAGATCCTATTGATTCTGTTTCACGGGAGAACACTGCCTACTAAAAATGTCTCAATAATCCATGAAACCAAGGTGACAGTTTGAACTTTGGGGTAGAAGATAAAGCATACTCAGAGGTCAAGGGAATGACCCTGGGTGCCCTTGAGTTATTCTAACATCTAGGGCACAAAAAGAGAAGGAAAAACCAGCTGAGAAACTGAGGAGACGGAGCCAATCTGAGGGACATTCAACCAGGAACGTGCGTATCCCAGAACACAAGCGGAGGAGGAAAGAGGGAGTGGTCAGCCGTGGGGAAGGCCGCCGGGTGGGACAGGGTGTCCCAGGCGCTCTGCAGCAGCAGCGAGCATGGGCCAGGGCCTCGCGTGGGGATGAGGAGCGACACAATATGCAGGGGCAGACTGTCACCCACCTTTGGCCTCGGGAGGCTTCCGCAGCCCAGCATGACCGTCCCTTCCCACATCCGTGAAGAGGGAAGTACCCGGAGAACACGCGTCACTGCGTGTGGGCTTCTGGGGCGGGGCATGCGGGGCGGAGTCTGCGACCGTGTGGGCTTGACGGATGGGGTCATTCGTAGGGAGATTAGGAGGAAATGGGTTTGAACTCGGAGTTTGAGTCCTGTCAGAGCAGATAAGGAAGTTGTGCCTTGTTCCCAGGGAAAGACTGACATGTGAGAGGCCCTGGTGGGAGGAGCCAGAGGCTGAAGCCAGAGGGAGGCCACAGCTGCCAGACCTTCCACATCCCGCAGGCTTGCGCCTTGTCCCTCCGTGTGCCGGGTCGGGGCTGGTGAGACCCCCGCATCCCTCGAGGCTGGCAGGGAGAGCATAGGTTTGGGCTCAAGTGGTCAGGAGACAACTTCCAGTGCTGGAGTCTGGTCACTGTTTTTTCAAATGAGAAACTGAGATCACAGAGGTTATATTACGTGCCAAGGTCACAAGCATTGGTCATACTCTGGGCTGGGCAGAATGGCTGAAAACAGTGGAGGTCAGAACTGTTCTGCTGCTGCTCCCGAGTTGGGATTTGTCTGGGAGGGCTCCATGGGGGAGGCAGGGCAGGGAAACCCGCAGGTATCCCAGGGGCAAGGCACGTGCTGGGGAGATGATCAGTCTAGGGACAGGGAGAGGAGAAAAAGAAATGTTGTTTTTTCCTCACAGCAATCCCTGTAAGGCTGTTATGTTCTTCACTTTACTGGTGCAAAAACAGAAGATCAGAGAAGTTGAGCAACGTGTCCAAGGTCACAGAGTTTATGGTTGCTGGGTCTGGGTTAGAACCCAGCTCTTCTTGCTTCCAAGGCCTGTTGCTTTTTCTGAGCAGAGGTGAGGACTTTCTAAATAGAAAACCAGCTCGTCCCGCGTACTCCCACAATAATAACAAACAGGGTACCTTACCGAGCCTCGGGGTACTGACCTATAAAACGGGGACAATCATTACACCTGTCCTGTGGGATTAAATGGGACTGCACCCCCACCACAGCATTAGGCCTGGCACACAGTATTTAAGAATGAACGCGATTATTATCAGGTGGTTATCCTCATTTTACAGACAAGAAAGCACGAAAGAGTCTGATAGTATCTTCATACTCTAAAGAGCAAGGCCTAAAGTCTGGATTCAAAGCAAGACACAGGAAATTCCAAAAACTCTCTTGAGTTTTTTTTGTTTGTTTTTTTAAACCAAAGATATAAGAGAGAGAGAGTAGAGAGATGGGTGCATCAGGGAAAACAGGGTTGGATCAGGCACTTGTAGGTCAGGCTGGGATGATGGAGCATGGTGTCTTCCGGTTTTAGCCACCAAGTTAGGATGGCACCTTAGAGGCCAAGATGGGTGATGGGGGCCTCCAGTCAGTGTTACGCGTGGGCTCCTAACCCAGTCTAGAGCGTGCTGGCACCTGCACTGTTTATAGCCACCTGGTCTGGCCCTGGATGCTGCCCTCGGAGACTTTGCTCTCCTCTCTCTGACCCATCCTTCACCTGCTGAGGCACTGGGATTATGCACGGCCTTCAAGGCAGCGCATCACCTCCACAGCAACTGTGCAGCTTGAGCTCTGTGTGCCTGTGCGGATGGCAGAGCAAACAAAGGCTCAGTCTGCCTTGATGTGACTTGCCCAAGATCACACAGTCACAGCAGACGACTCCATGCTGGCTTAGTCAGGTGACGTGGGTCTCACATGACGGAGGGCAGATGGGCCTGGGCGAGAGATGGCAGGCGGTGGCCTGATAGAGAACTGGTCAGAAGGACAGCACCGCAACAGACTAGGGGTGGGAGTGGGAGAGATGGAGGTGGGCCCTGGGGAGCCCTGACGTCAGACCTATGTCTTCCTACCTTGCCCCATCTGTCTTTGCACAACCTTGACCCAGAGAAAGAATCAAGGGCTGACCTGGGCCAAAGACACCCGGCTGGAGTCCCTCCTCCACCACTGATGAGCTCTGTGACTTGGGCATGTCACTGCTTCATGAGGCTCGCTTTCCCTGCCTAAAATGGTCTCCCTCTCTTTCCACACCTGAGTGTGAAAGGCCAAAGGAAAGTGGAGCCTCCCAGGCCCTCACGGGGAGCCACGCACAGGGCGGGCCCTTCCCAGACCACTCCGACGACGCGCCCTGTGCTCAGGGCTTCCTGTCCTCATCCCCCCAGCCCCTGTCCTGGGAACCTGCTCTGGGTTGTCAGAGAGCCAAACTTCTGTCAACCCCACCCGCGATGGGCAGTTAATGAGTGACCAGGCCTCTGAAGCCTGTCCTATAAGGAGCTGCCAGCCGGGAAGCAGGTGGGAGACAGGTGGACAGCGGCGGCAGGAACAGAGGGAGCAAGATGGGCAGCAGGACCCTGTTGGGACACCTGTCAGGGGTGGCTGTGGTCCTGCTGCTGCTGCTGCCGCAGGGCACACGCTCAGTCTACGTCAAGGTGAGTCCCTCGGGCCAGGCTGCCCTTCTGCCTGACACCAGTCACGGCCAGATCCAGATAGTGGTGCGTGGGAGCAGCGGAGTGTCATAGTGACCCTGATAGTGACAACGAGGGAGATAAGAGTAAGAGCAAACCGCTGTTTATCCAGCACTGCTTTCCTGGAAGGCTGGTGCAACTCCCAGGGCTCAGAACACAGAACATGATATGGGATGGAAGAGGATCCTGTAAGGAAGCAGACCCCTCCTTCTATGCTTCCACATCTGAGTGCTCATCCATCCATGGGGGAGGAGTGGCCACAGACAATCTCCCCGGCAGGTAACTCTTGAGGACAATGCAGGAGGGGCAGGAGGAGCCAGGCCCAGGGGACCCGCAGCAGCCAGAGGGTGCAGTGCACACAAAGGCCTGGAGAGAAGGTGGCAGGACTGCAGGGGTCCTGCCAGGGGCTGTGAGGTAGGAGGGAACCCCGGAATCAGGGCCTGCCTACTGGGCAGTGAGGTGCTGCTGGCCTCTGCCAACTGGGGAGCTCTGGCCCTGGCACTGCACGTCCAACTGGGAACAAAGGGGTCCTGGGAGGGGTTTGAGAGAGTAGCCTAGCCAGCTCGAGGTGCCATCACGTCCCCAGGTCAGCTCCAGAAGAGGACCAGGCCCCACGGAGGTCAGACACCACTTGCCTCCCCCAGCCTGCTCTTTCCAGCATGGCCTGGATTTTCCCTGAGGTCAGGGGAGGGTCCAGAGTATCTGTGGTGTTCAAGGACCCCTGGGTATCATGGCGGCCCTGTCCCCGTCCCTGTCCCAAGACTTGACCCCTCCCACCGTCCCTCCCACAGCACCAAGGCTTCCAGATCCAGCTGGAATCAGTGAAGAAGCTGAAGGACCTGGAGGGACAGTGGGTGCCCAGCCCCCGCCTGCAGGCCCAGAGCCCCTTGCCCCCTGTGTGCCACCACCCAGCCTTGCCCCTGGATCTTCAGCCTATCTGTGCCTCCCAGGATGCTGCCAGCATCATGCAGGACTTGAGTAAGTGTCCCCCACCCATACAGCCCCCTGCCCCTGCTTCTGTCCCACCCCACGCAAGCTCCTCTGTCACCTGCTGTAGGAAGGGAGGGTCGGGAATTCCAACCCTTGCCTGCCCCAGCAATGCCTTGGTTTGGACACAGAAAGTCAGACTTGCAAACTCCCTTCACCGTTGGGAGTCCCTCCAAGATGCCACAGATGGGAGGGAAGGGAGCCCAGAGAGCAGCGGCTCCACAGACAGTGAGCACGGCAGAGCAGAGACGCTGTGCATCTGATGGGATGAGGAGCTGAAAGGCTGCTAAGGGGAAGAGACAGCTAAGCTGAAATGAGAGGGTGTGGCAGAGCCGGACAGCAGAATTTCACTGTTTGCTGATCCCTCCTCTGTGCTGGGCCCTCTGCCCCAATTCCCTGTATGGAGCCCTGACAAGACGATCTGCCTTTGTAGCAGACAAGATCTGAACTCGGGCCCAGACCAGAAGTACCTTGCCCAGGCACAGTGGGCCTCACTCCCAGCTTCCTGCTGGTAGGAATGGTCCAGAACCTCTCCTAAGTGGCCACTGTCTGCAGCCTGGCCAGTAGCTCCAAGGCAACCACAGGCCTCCCGTGTTCAGGTTCAGGTTTAGCTGACTGACCTTCTCTCCACCCAGGGTTCATGGACAATGAAGAGTGTGAACTGTGTGTGAACATCGCCTGTACCGGCTGCTAGGATGACCCGGGCACCTGCCCTCCAGGCCCACTGCCCGTGCAGCTCCCCCCCACACACACCAAGAACGTTGGAGAAGCCTGGCCACCTTCCCAGGGCCCAAGCAGCTGGATCCAAGGACAGTTTAGCCCCTAGGCAGCCCCGCTTCTGAATAAAGGTTCTTCCCACACAGAGCCAACTGTCTGTTTGTCCATCCCAAGGAACGATGGGTGGAGGTACTGCGAAGCTGGGTGGGTGGAGGAGAAAGGTTGGGCAGAAGATAACAGGCAGGAATTTCCCTGAGGTTTCAAGGCCTGAGGAGCTGACTCACAAAACTTCATTTCATAGATAAGGGAGCCCAGGCTCACAGAGCAACCCAGACTCCGGGATCCTCAGGCTGAACCCACAACCCCCCAGTTTCGCAGCCAGAGCTTCTGTGCTCCAGATTGGGAGAGGCGGGAGGGAGCCACAGGTGCCCCTCTGGATTGACTGTCAGGGCCGGGCTCTGCCCCCTTTGCCTTTGTCCTCTCTCCCGAGATCCAGGAGACCTCCTCTCCCTCACAGCCTGTGGCCCTGAGCAGAATGAAAAGTAGCCAAGAGCTGCTGAGCATGTGCTGAATCCCAGGCACTGTTCTAAACACTGCACTTGTAACCCTGAGTCCGTCAACGTGATTGTCAGCCCCGTCCCCTTTACAAATAAGGAATAGCACAGAGAAAGAAATCCCTAGTCTGACATCACACTCGCAAGATGGCTCAACAGGCTCTTCCGGCACATCCGCAGCAGGGGCCACACTCGGACTCCCTGGGCTCCGTCTTTCCGTGTCACCCACAGCTATGACACTGAAGGCAGGGCGGGGGACAGCCACTGCATCCTCACGGCAGCCTTCATGGCCTGGCTTCAAGCCAGGAGCTGTGCTGGCAATTCCTGGGAGCAGGGCCTTTCCCCAGAGTGGGCCCCTCTTCGGCCCTCATCCTGAGAGCCAGGTGGAAGGAAAGCCACCTGCACAGGGCCCCCGTCCTGCCAGTCTCCAAGACCAAGGCAGATCCTGACTGCTGCCCAACCTGACTGCCCAGTCCTGCCGCCCCCAGAGCTCCAGCCTCTTTCTCTCCCTCCCCTGTGGCCAGGGCTCTGTGTACGGCCTGCTGCGGCCCTCCAGTCCCACCTCTGCCATCACTCAGGCCAGCCCAAGCTTTCTTCCTGACCTTGTGCCCTGCAGGCACTTCACCCAGGGGAACAGCAGGCACTGTTCTAACCGTGCTGTGGCTCCCCAGGGCCACCTCAATCTAAGCTGTGCGCAGGCACCATCTGGACTCATCACTGCCCTCAGTTCACTGTGTCCCCACCCACCTGGTGGAGAGAGCAAAAGGACCTGGCAAAGACACAGCACCTGCCACACGCAGGTGAGGTGGGCACCACACAGAGGCGGTGCGGACAGCAGCCACACAAAGCACAAAGCTACGTGAAGTTGGGGTCCAGAGAAGCACCTCTGCCTCCCCTCTCTACCTCCCCACTCCCTTTCCCTTCCTGCTCCTCTTCCTCCTTTCCCCTGCTCCTCTTCTTTTTTTTTCATAAATGAAATTTACCTGATTTGGGTTTTTTTGAACAGTTCATTGTTCTGTAAATCTGCTGTTTGGTTTGGTACTGGGGATCGAACTTAGGTCCTTGCACTTGCCAGGTAGGCACTGGAACCACCGAGCTAAATCCCTGGCCTGATTCATTGTTAATGTATAGAAATACTACTGATTTTTGTATGTTACATTTTATATCCTGCAATTTTACTGAGTTTATTTGTTTTAATAAGTTACTGGGTGGGGTCTCGAGGGTTTCTAAATGTAACATCATGTCATCTGTGAAAAGAAGCAATTGAATTTCTTCCCTTTTGAGTTGGGTGCCTTTTAAAATTTAATTTCTTACCTAACTATTCTGGCTAGGACTTCTAGAAATATGTCAAATAGCAGTAGCAAGAGTAGGCATCACTGTCTTGTTCCTGATCTACACAAAGTTTTTGACACTTTTGAGTCACCTTTTTTTTTTTAAAGATTTGTCACTTTCATTAAAAAAACACTCCATTTTATTGATCTCTATTGTTTTCTAGTCTCTATTTCATTTATTTCTGCTCTGATCTTTATTACTTCCTTCTTTGACTGGCTTTAGGCTTTGATTCTTTTTTTTTTTTTTTTTTTTTTTTTTTGTACAGGTGATTGAACTTGGGTCCTTGCACTTGCAAGGCAGACCACTGAACTGCTGAGCTAAATCCCCGGCCCAGCTTTGTTTATTCTTTCCCTAGTTCCTTATGTTTTAATGTGAGGTTATTTGAGATCTTCCTTTTTTTTTGTTTGTTTGGTTTGGTTTTTTGAGACAGGGTCTCAGTGTGTAGTTCAGACTGACCTAGAACTTACTATGTAGCCCAGGCTGGTCTCGAACTCACAGTGATCCTCCTGCCTCAGCCTCCCCGGGTGCTGGGATCACAGGTGTGCGCCACCACACCCGGCAGAGATCTTCCTTTTCTCTGTAGGCTTTTATTGTTACAAACTTAACACCTTTGCTGTATCCCATAAGCCTTGACATGCTGTTTCCATTTTCATTTGTCTAAAGACATTCTTCCATTTTCCTTTGCACTTCTTTGATCCACTGGTGAAGCTTTAAGAGCATTTCCAGTGTTACATCATTTAATCTCCACTCAGGGGCTCACCACCCGCACTTTGCACAACAGGAAACCAAGGGATTCTCTGCAGGTCACACAGCCACACAGGCAGAGCCCGCCCAGCATTATGGCCAGGATTCCACCTGCCACTCGTCTTATCAAAAACCCAAGCAAACTGCAGATGCAGGGTCTGTTATCCTCCCCATCTCCAGATGACAAAGCCAAGGCTCCAGGAGGGACACACGGCTTGTGAAGGGCACGCCAGCTGGCACCCACTCCTTTTGGCCTTTCAGACTCCATCTTGCGCACACTGAGCTATCCCAGTTCCTCTGTGCATGTCCCACATTCTGGAAGTTTCTCTTCCGATCTCCACATGGACTTGGAAATCCATCTGCCCTAAAGCAAATCCCAAGAACTAATGAAAATACAGCTCTGTCCTCCCTCACAAAGCCCTCCTGCTCTCAGCCCAGAGAATCACCCTCTTGAATAAGCCCCTGGGCATCCTGCCTGGGCCCCCCCTGGTGCTTCCTCTCCCCCCTTCCCCCCCTGGCTGTCTTCTCTTTCTTCTTCTTTAGACCTTTCCTAACTGGCCTTACTTCCTCACCTGCTCTCCACTCCCATCTAAGCCACTCCCAGCCTAACCCCTATTCTTTGGTTTGTTTTAACCATTTATCGAATTCCCTCTGTTTCTCCCAGGTCTGAACTGGGGCTGTGAAATGCAATTCTCTCACCCGGCCTGGAGACAGGTACTACTGTCTTCCAGTTTTACAGAAAGGAGGCTGAGGCACAGAGAAAGCAGGTCATTTTCCTAACATCACACAGTATGTGGAAGACCAAGAGGGACCATGCAGCTCCTGCCCTTTTACATCCTCATGCAAGCATCATGTGAGCAGACTTCTCTGTGTCTGGGGGCAGGCAGCCTTGCGGCCAGGCTGATGGGTGAAGGAAGGAGCGGAAGCAACATCAGGAGTACTCTGGCATCGGGTTTATTAGCAGAGCGTTGGCGTGCATCTTGGAGAGCTCGGTCTCAGGCCTGGGGCCTCTAATCCCGCGGCCCCTCCCTGGGCAGCTCTCTTCTCATCCCTCCATACTGGGGCAGGGTAGATTGAGCTGCTGGAGCGGGAGGGTCACAGGTCACCTTTCCAGCGGTAGAAAGGGTTTCCCTGCAGAGTAGGAAAGACAGCAAGCAATGCTGCCCTAGCATCCGGCACAGGCGGCGTAGGCACAGATCTCGCACGTGCTCGGGTCCTGAGCGATGGCCTCTGGACAGGAGAGATGGGGCCTGGTGACATCCCAGAAGCCCCCTGCTTCCCTTCAGCCAGGGCTTGGGTGTCTCCTACCCGCATCCTCCAGGAAATGTCCTCTCTGACCCATGCTTTCAGCCCCATACAAGTGCCTGCCCCTCAGGGAAGCCACTCAGAGAGGAGCTTCTACCCAGAAAGGAGATAAAGCACCAGAGCGGAGCTTCTACCCAGAAAGGAGATAAAGGACCAGAGCGATGGTGCGCATTTACCTACCATTCCCAAATTACCACTGAGAACTAATCCAAGCAGGGATCTGCAGACCCACCAATCAGAGCCAAGCACCTCCTCTAAACACCCAGCCAATCAGAGCACATCTTTCTCCCAAGAGCTGCCAATCAAAGGATCCCGGGGCCCACTCACCGAGCCGACGCAGGATGTCCCGGACGTTGGGCTCCCTACAGACTGGACGGAGCTCTTCTGGAAACCCTGGGTGGCTGCAGAGCGGCTGTGGGGCCGCGAGCTTCCTGCGGCCCTCGACCGTGGGCTCCCGGATCTCCCGGAGGTCCCTAAGCCTCTTCACTGACTCCAGAGAAAAGGAAAAATCTCCATCCTGAGAGAAACAGCTGAGTGTGAGGCCTGGCGGTCCCAGTACTGTGGGCCCAGCCCGGGGAAGAGACACCCTGGGGACGGAGTGGGGTCCCGAGCTGCTGCCTGCGCTCCTGGTTTCGCTGTGTGACCCTGAGCACGCAGCAGGCCTCAGGTTCTCCACGCTGTTACACGAGGAATGGCGAACGTGGGTATGGAGCTCCAGGGACACAGAAGCCAGGACAAGAACGCGCCCTTCCACCTTGCTGTGCCTCGCCGTTTGCCCCCTAAGAGCACTATGGCTGGCCCTCCCGCCTCCAGCGCTTGCTTGATTTGAGAAACAATAAAATCCCCCAGGACGGCGTGTGGTGGATGGTGCAGGGTTGTAATCCCAGCACTTAGGAGGCTGAGGCAGGAGGATCCCGAGTTTGAGGAAAGCCTGGACTACGTGGTAAGACCCTGTTTAAAAAGAAAAACAACCTGCTTCCACGAGCCTCTCCTAAGAAGCCCTGTGGATGGTGTCACCCAGTAGGCACACCCATCCATCAGGACCTCTAAGATGCCCACGAGTCCACAGCCCCATACAGCCTCTGGCTGAGGACAAGACCAAGGAATAAGGCCTGGGTTTGAATCTAGCTCCTTCACTTCCCAGCAGGGTGTCTCTGGTCTTTACAGAGCCTCTTTCAGGCTGCTTCTCTCTGTAGAGTGGGGCTAAGAACCCCCTCCTCCCAGGGGTCGCAGGGAGGTGCCGGGGAGAAACCCTTACTGGCAGGTGCTCCATCTCTGGCGCGCATGGGGGCTTACCTGCACGGTGACCCCCCCTGCCAGGGCAGCCCAGGCACCAAGGAGGCACAGTACAGACAGCAGGAAGCCATTCATGGCAGCACAACCCAGGAAAGAGGGCGCCGGTCCTAATGTCAGGGAAGAGCAGGCCTTTTAAAGAGGTCAGGGTTACTGAGTAACCTCAAGCCTTTGTCAGCGTCCCATCTGCTGTCAGATGCATCAGATAAGGAGCAGGAGATAAAAGATCAACCCAAGCCTGGCAGAGTTACAGCCCCTCCCTGGGCACCACTCTGACCCGCAGTGGGCTGGGTCCTGCATTCACCCTAGGTTGGGACCCCTGTTGGAGCCAGCCCTGCCCTTGAAGAGAGGATCAGACCCAGACAGCGACTACCGGAGCATTTAGGATGAAGGCCCCAGGGCTGTGCAGGGGCAGGGTGGGGCCACCACACAACAGGACCGGTCAGCTCAGGAAGGCTTTCCCCAGGAGGCTGTGCCAGCGCTGAAGCCCAGAGAATGAGGAGGGGCAGGATAGAGGGCCATTTTTTGTTGAAGGCGTTATTTTGGATAGCAAGAGGGTGCCATGGGCCTGGAATATTTAGGGAAATGTAAGTCAGCCTAGGAAGGAGGAAGTCGGGGCCCACAACTTCAAGAGACAGCTGAGGCTGCAGAGACTATGGCAGTTCCTCGGTTTGGCAGCTATGATTTTAAAGAGGGACCTGGCTCTGCCACTCCCAGACCTGCATTCAACTTCCATCTACTGCTCCATTTTGCTTCTGTGATGTGAGCAGGAGTCTCCCTGTGTCCTGGGTTGGGGCGCTCTATTAATACCTACCCGGGAGGGCAGGTGTTACTGTTTTGAGGATTAAATGAGGTTTTAAGAATATGAGGCCCAGTGCCTGGCACACAGGAAGTGCGCATTGAAGGGCCGTTCGGTTATATTCTTAGCAGCAGCAGCAGCTCCTGGTTTCCACCAGCCTCCTGCCACAGCCCACCCTCCCCCTGTGCTACCATCCTGCCACCTCAGCATTCTCCAATGGGATCCGGCCCGTCTGCAGATGCTGTTGCATAGGCAGACTGTCTCACCCCTCTGTTCTGTCCCACTGAGACTGGCTGCGCCCCACACAGTGTATGTTTCACTGTGTCACCTATGGTGAGTGGGGCCCAGGAGAAAGGTGGCACTGGCTTCATCTTTCTACTCCACAAACCTGGCTGGGTGGCCAGACAGCTGGGTAGTGGGGCAGGAATCCCTGGGCACCAGAGTCGATATTGAAGAAGGGACTGAATGGAGCCTAGAGAGAACGGGACTACAGGGTCTGGCCCAGCCCTTCTCCCCCCGCTGGTGTTGTGTACATGCAGGTGAAGTGTGTGTTGTGCTTGTGTGTATATGCTGAGGTGTGTGAATGCTTCGGAGATGTGTCTGTGTGCAGGCAGGCATGCCTTCATATACAAAGGGGGGTGTGTGTACCTCACCGGCAGTCTATCCAGTCCCACAGCGGCCTCGAGAGAGCCCCGGGCAAGGTTAGGGATGGGTATAGGGCAGAGAAAGGGAGCAGGGACGCTGGAGCAGAGGCCAGGTCAGGGGATTCCGGGAAGCACAGATGGGGCAGGGATGGGGCAAGCCCAGGGGTGCAGCTGAGGTGGTGGTGGGATTGTACAGGGCTGGGTAGACCGAGCGGGGTTGAACATGAACGTGAAGTGAAGGTCAGCACTGGGTGAGGGCTTGGAACTGTGGCTGAGTTTGAGACCAATGTAGCTGTTAGGGTTTGGGTGAGGGTCAGGATTAGAAAGGAGCTGAGGTTGTGGAGAGGGGGTCAGGGGTAGGTTTGGAATTGGGGAAGAGTTGGGACTGGTGTGAGGTGGGGACTATAACGAACATGGAAGCTGGCCTGGGGTTAGGTCAGTGCTCTCTATAGCTGTAGGGTTGAGACTGGAGTTGCCTGCGTATGCAGCTGAAGTTGGAGGCATGGCTGGGGTTGGTTGGGTCTGTGCGACAAGTGAGGCTAAATCTGCACTGGGATTTGATTTGGCATTTAGGTCAGGACTTGGCTGGGACCGTTGGGGGCTGGAGGAGCCCTTTTTTCTGACCCACTTCGACTCTTCACTTCCCCTCCCCACAATGGGTGGCAGTGTTGGGGGTTTTGATTCCCGATGCGTCTTCCTCCCACAGCCCCTGCCAGGGTATACACAGGGATGGAGGGAGTAACAGTGCTCCGCCCTGTGGGAAAGAGGAAGTGGCTCCCAGGCCCTTTCGATCATACCCTCACCAAACCCATTCTGACATCTGCCCTGGGAAATGGCAGCCCTTCTTCCTCAGCCGTCAGCTACCCTGCCCAGCCTGGTCCTCGCTGAGTTCAAGCCCCCTTCCTCTGCAGAGGACACTGGACCTCAGAAACATGTATGGAAACTGCTGGATATTGGGGTCCTCTCAGAACCACACACACTATCATTCCTGCATAGGCAGGAGGAAGATCTGAGGTCACCAGGTTCCCCACCCCCAAAATTACCTCTTCTGGCAAACTCTTGCCCCTCTATGGCTTCTAGGCTATACCATCTCTACCACTTACCTCCCCACTCCAAAACCCACCAGAAGCTGTCCCAAACCGTCAGATCATCCTGATCAAGTCTCTGCTGAGCTCACTGTTTATCCAGGATCCCAAAGGACCCCCTGGAGGTGACAAGGAAGTAGGGACCAGACTAGGAGGCTTTGCAGCCAGGCAGCCTTGGACTGGTATCCAACACCGCCATTTATAAGCTCCGGGCCTTACTGAGCCTTGGTTTCCACACCTGGAAACCGAAAACAAAGCCAGTTCTGCTGCACATTTTAGATTTTCTAGAACTTTCCAACCAACACTGGCCCCAGCAAACCTGGGAGCCTGGAGACTCTAAAGCTGATCTGTGACCTCAACAAGGGTGTGGTTTACATTTCACAGCCTCACCTTTAAAACTTGTAAATGTGTTTTAGAGGATATAAACAACCTATAGTTCCTACAGGAACCCAGAAGAGCTTGAGGTAGACATTATAATGGATATGAATCTCCTATCAGCTGAAGGAATACCTAAGAAATTACTGTATATAACCCCACTTTATAGATGGGTAAATTGACCTCAGTGATAAAGAGAGATCAAGAAACTATTACTTTCCTAAGGGTACATACATGGCTACTGGGTACAGCTGTACTGATTGTGCAATACACAAAGGTACCTGGCCAAAAGCATAAGGATAGGCACAGCATAGAGCTACGACAACAGAAAGCACAACTTTTCAGGTTCACTGCCAGGTGGACTCGATGGCAGCTGTAGTCACACAGCTATGAATTTCAGAGCAGAATCCATTTGTCTTAAATGCCAAAGGAAAATCTAAACTTCTATTCAGTCCAATACATACCTCCTGCCCTATCTTCCTGGTGCCAAACTCCCATTTTCTTCCCCTTTCAGGGAAGGAAAAGAAGGACCCTGTGCATCCAGACTTTGTCCATTAGCCAGAGGAACAAGTGGAAGCTCTTGGAAGAGTGCTCAGTACAAAGTAGATGGCGGGTCAGGATTTGCAGCCTGTTGGCCTGAGCCCAAGTCCAGTGTCAGGGGATTCCCTCCCCTTCCGCTGAACCCCAGATGGGGCAGCTCTTTCCCTTGATGCCCCAGGGGGCAGCTGGGGAGTGCACAGGGGTGCGGCTGGTTGTTTGTCCAGCCGTGTCATCCCTGGTGACTTAGGATGGAGCAACAGGGCACTCTATTCACCATCTGTTCCCACTCACACCATGGGCAGCCACCACCTCCCGTCCTGTCCCACATCTGAGGTATTGGCCATGAGTCCACCTCCCGCTCTGGAGGGTGACAGAAGGAAAGAGACAGTGGGAGCACCATGTGCCCCACAGGGGACCTGCACAGATCCCAAAGCAGGTCAAAAGGAGGCTAGGATGTAGGTGGCAGATGCCATGGGGCTCTGTGCCAAACACACTGGAGGCCATAAAAAGATAAGCCTGGGTTACAAATCTTTGGGGCCAGGTCAGAAAATGCTTGCCAGCCGAGGCAGGGTTTAGAGGTCTCAGTCAATGAAGGATCTGGAGCTGGGAGGGCAGAGACTGGCTTCGGCTGAAGACGAGAGGGAGGTTTTGAACCCTGAGCACTGATCCTAACCTGGTGACAGTGGGAAGCTATGGGGAGTTTGGAGCAGCGTGAGACCATGACAGGGCTGTGGCACAGAAAGACCGTACGGCAGTGGCACTGAGAGCAGACAAGTCTGGCGAGTCCAGGGGGTAGGAGCAAAGACCATGGGGCAGGAGAGTCAACTTGGCAGCAGCCTGAAGAGAGGAAGGTAGGGAGGGACAAAGGGATTCTAAGTCCTTCTGATCCAAAGTCTTCATTCTTAAAAAAAAAAAAAAGATCCAAATTGTATTTATTTATTTTTGTACCAGGGATTGAACTTGGAACCTTGAGCTTGCAAGGCAGGCAGCAGCACCATTGAGTTAAATCCCCGGCCCAAAATCTTCATTCTTTGAGCTGTCTCAAGTACTGTGCCGGCCTTGGTGCGGGCAGGAAACAGGCACTGAGTGGCGTAACAGACCCGCTTCTGTGGTGGTAAGGAAACCTGGGGTAGGCCAGGGTAGGGGCTGCACAGGGGCAGGAACAAGTGTGGGGAGAGCAACAGGTACAAGCCAGGGATGTGGTAAGAAAAAGGAAGAATCTGTGCAAGCTTGCAGTACCTAACCTAGTGCCTGGGAACCCAGCCTGACCCCAGGAAGAGTCTAATTCATGCCTAAATTTGCCTGCAGTTGAAGGGCACAAAGTGCCAGGCATAATCACACTATCACATGTCCAGCTCAGAGGTATGACCACACAATCGCATAAGCACCCACAGAGTACCCCCCACAGTCACACCAGACTTATGGAAGCACACACTCTCATGGAACCAGGGAGTTTGCTTGCCTCTGCCTGCAGGCCTCGGAGAGAAGGGTAGAAGTGTCCTCTGACATCTTTATTGCCATGTCCGAGACAGGAAGTTGTCTGACCTTTTGGATACTCCAGTGAGGTAAGCGCCATACTCTCAGTGACGTGAGCTCAGCTGGCTCTGGACTACAGTGTGATGGGGTGGGGCGACAGGGAAGTCAAGGGCCACTGGGGAGTATTGTGGAAGAGGCAATCTATCTGCCTCAGTGGGAAGAGCAGACCAGAGGAAGGCAGATCTGGGCTGCTGCCCTCTCCCTCACCCTGGCAGTGACCTTCAGGCAAGTACATCACCTCTCGGAGTGGCAATCCCCTGCAGTAAAAGGCAGGTAATAACCAACCTCACAACGTAGCTGAAATGCTAACTCAGATAATGGCTGTCAAGTACTGGGCAGGGTCCCGGCAAATGGCGGCAATAATCATAATGTTTGTGACAGCCACAGG